TCTCCAGCTGGACAACGCTGGAATCGTTCCAGTGACACACACCACACACAGACGATACAGACACAAACATGTAGAGCTATCGATCGCGATGACGATGGAAAAATAATTGTCAAGATTGCGATCGTTCTACTTCACGTGGACAGCCTCTGCTTGAGACGTCCGTGTTGTTACTTCCGTGAACTAGACGATCGAATCATGAATCTCAACTGTTTATACATACAGTGATCAAATTATTATGGTCAGATGAAAAAATTACGCATTTTATGTTTCCGGTGGTATTATGACTAAGATAATATAAAATGTAACCTTTTCGTTTGTTCTTAATACATAAATAGACAAAAGGTTTAACTTGAAGTGATAAAACTTCAAATAAGTGATACACAATTTCAAAGTGACCGTACTAATTTGACCACCCACTGTATACTCATTTATTAATCAGAGATTTGAAGCTTTCACGGCCCGGCATCATACAGTTCTTACTGTTGAGGCTTTAGGGCGTAAGCCGTATTCTTACGGAATTACTTATTTTCAGCTGGCGAAACGTTGGGAAAATAATTTCATTCGTTGATATTTAGAGTGATGAGAAAATTCTGTTTGATTATGGAGATTTAGCGTTTTCTACTTTGCCTTTGTTTCTTTCGAGCAGGGGTTCCGAAAGTACGGCCCGCAAACCCTAGAAATGCGGCCCGCGAACCCTAGAAATGCGGCCCGCGATGGCAGATCAGCCGCCATCTTGAATTTACAGAGATAATTTACATTTTTACAAAAAAAAAATAAATAAATTGTGGTGACTGATCCGCCAGCGATCGGGCCCGACACGCGTGAGTGCGTGTGTGGTGCGTACCGGCGCGGCATGAGAGAGTGTGTGCGTGTGTGAGTGTAGCGAAAAGTGAAGCGTAGAAGAGGCCCCGGGCCCCAGGCCCCGAACAAGAAGGCAGTTGAAGGTAGCGCGCCGAGCTGGCTATACGACACAGAGAGTACACGTGTTTCCTAACGAATTGATCCCACAATATTATGATTAAAAATTGTTCAGTTAAAAAAATACTAAATTTTTTATGTAATATATCTTATTATTATATGTGCAGATTGTATATATTTTATTGTCTTAACGGCCAATGGCCGTAATTGGCCCGCCAAATATTTTCGAATTTACAATTTGGCCCACCTACTAAACTTTGCGAACCCCTGCTTTAGAGGAAGAAGGAAGAATTTCACTTTGCAAAAGTGCTTAAATAAATGTGTACAATTATATTCATGAATACATTCCAAGATAGTTAATAGAAACAGTTTTAGATTGTATCGAAAATTTTATTGCGGAGATTTTATAAATATTCCAACCTAATCAGAGATTAAATAAATATGAAAATTTATGTAGAATATTCATGAGAAAGTGTGTTGGTATAAAAATTCACGTATTCGGTACTTTTTCCTTTTTCTAATTTACTGCCGGTGTATTTTGTAAAAATGGAAGGAAAATATTTAGTCATCCACTTGTCTGCGACAGGATGGAGTTGTCAAACACTTTGCAGCCGCTACGTGAAGCCACTTACCAGAAACGCGTTCCACTTAATCGATTAACTCGCATTCGTCGTCGACTTTTAATGCATCTAAGTTCTCCCTTGCTTCACTTCTCTCCCGGTTTTTTTTATCGAACTAATCTGGATCTTTTCGATCGTCCGACGAAAAAAAGAGAGCCTTCATTTCGTAAGGAAGTTCAATTAAATTTGGACAAGAAACTCATCCTTTGAATCGAACCAGTAGAAACCTTTTCTTATTTCGCGTGTCAGCCAAGTTTCGAATTTCCTTCTTTACTTTTTTCACCTTTGTTTTAGTTGATCGGAAAATTCGTAAATTGATTTCGTACTAACCAAGACGAAACCCCGCATGCAGCTCGCTTTCATATAATCGCGAAAGTATTTGATCCGATAGCATGGATGATAAACGAGCTCCGGTGTTCCACACGCATCCCTTTAATTCCGGAAGTGTGTCAAGGTGATGTGTGTTGTGTATTGCATACGCGTGCACACGCTGTATCATCGCCGTGTTCGATTTCACAAAAATACACGTCGATCTTTTTTTGGGGGGATGAAAATGAAGTCGAGAGCATTCATCGATAAAGTATGAAATTTTGCAAGTGACGTGGTGTAAAGTAATCACTCGCGCAAATTGTTTAACAAAAATACATTTATCTGAATCCGATAACGCTTAACCTAATTTTGAAGTGTAGGCGACGCGATGCACGTGGTAAGTGCCTTTTTCGGGGATCCCTTAAGTAGCCCCTTTTCCCTGGGAAAGTCCCAGGAAGTGGGAGCGCGGGTCTGCATTGCCGAGGCAATACTCTTGTCCTCGAGGACGAAGAAACTCGGAGATGTTTGGAAAAACATCTCTCGATTCTTCGCCTCGAGGGCCAAGAGTCGCCAGGCCTAAGTGCCGTGGCCCCCGGTGGCGGTCGCCACCATTTTTCGAAGAGGGTAATTGTGACAATTTTTGGAAATTTTGCTTGAATTATCTCTTTCACAAAACAAGTATCAACATCTTCTTTTATAAATATTCTAACTAAATTTTAGTGTTCGTCCAATCACTTGGACACTATATTGAAATTTCCCACAAAAACCGATTTGTAATAATTCGTTTAAAAAAAAGAATTCAAAAAGAAACACTGTCATATTCGTAAATTTTTGAAAAATTAACAGTAACACCTTTAATAAATATTCTAAACAAATTCGAGTGTTCATCCAATCACCTGGATCAACTAAGTTGACATTTCCCCCAAAATATGATTTGTAGTAATTTATGGAAAAAAGAAAAAAAACTGAAAGATATTCAGGAAGATATAAGAAAGCTATTTCTTTGAGAAAAAGAAACACCATATTTGTCAATTTTTACAAAATCAACATCAACACATTTTAGAAATATTTTAGCTATGCTTTAGTGTTCACGCAATCACATGTTCCGACTAAATTGAAATTTACCCTAAAACACGATTTACACGCCGACAAATTCGTGGATTTCAATTAAAGCAGTCGTGTCCCTTCGCGTGCCCTCGGGCTTCGACTGGCAAGAGGGTCGAAAGGGGGACGTTTCGTGACTCTTAATCGAATTTACGCTGATTAATGGACTCGACTGTCGATCGCAGTCGAGCCTTGATCCCCTCGTCACGATAAACCCACCTTAAGCACGTAAACACCGCCTATCGATGACGATTCCGAGGCTCGTGTTTCTATCATTTTACCGATTACTCTGGGAATTGGCGGATCGTGGCGCCTCGTAATGAGATTTCAACACGAATCTAGCTTTCGAATATCTACGAAGCCATTAAAATAAACTCAGACCACTTTTTTCCAAATGAAACTTTCAGACTATTCAGATGTTTCTCATTTCACGTTTTTGATCACTTCTTCGGAGAAAAAATTGTTTTGAATATTTCCAATTTTTTAATTGACAAAAAAAAATGAGAATTTTCTATAAAATAAAAGTTAGAATTTTTCGTAAAATATTCTGCAAGAGAATATAAGTGTCTTGGCTTTTGTAGAAATTCATGAAAAAGACGTAGAAAAAGTGAATAAAAAGTTGAGGTGAACCTTAACGCGGCAAACGGTCAGCTATAGCTCGCGTGAAATCATTGAGCCACACAAGGTCACTGGAGCGCTACCCCCACCACATCTCTACTCCACTTCTGTTACTTTCTTCCAGCATTGTTATACTTTATCGTTACTTAAAAGCCAAAAGATATCATTTTCAACACAGTATCTCTTTTATTTTATCATTTTGGATTGATTTCAAATTGGAATGGTACAAAGGGTGAATTCTGGCACAACATTACAGTTGTTCCAGTTCCCGCTAGCGAAATTATCAGAAAATAATCAACTGCAACCGGTTCGATCCGCAATGCGTTGGCTCGTGAATATACACGCACTCGAACATAATGAAGCGACGTTATTGATTATTGGTAATCCAATCAGCATTGTGTATTACTCCCAGCATTAAATGATATTAATTAATCTGGAGACAGAAGGCGGGAAATCACCCGTTTTGAATTCACCCGAATTTGAACTAATTTGAAGAAAAATTACTTCCAGCAATCTTTTCATTAAGGAAACAAAAATATTAATAAAATCTTCTCCAAAGAATATACATTTTAATCAATTTTCTTCAGTTTGTAACAGTTGAAAATACTTTGAAAGGGGAACATTTGTTTCAGTCAGAAGATGAAAATTTAGAAAATACTGGAAGTGATTATGGCGAGCCTAGATCCAGATTAAATGAAATCTGTGTCGTAGAAAATAACGAAAACACCGATGGCCAAAGTTCTGGATCGCAACCGTCCAATTTCCGTGTACAACAGTCACGTTTCGATACGTTCTTGCCAACGGTTTCGTAAACAGAGAGAAGTTTGCTTCATCAGAATCCGCCCGAATATTTGGATAACGAGCAAGAGTATGTCAACGAAGTCTGATGAGGCAAACTGCGATGTTTGCAAACTGTCGAGGAGAAAACGTGACCACATTCTGGAAATCAATAACAGCGGAACAATTAAGAACGAGTTGTTCTCCCTTCGAAACAATCGACTTTTCTTCAGCTGTATTTAAACTGTCCCTTTCGCTTCTTTTTCTGAAGCTGCACGTTCGTTTACAGTTCGAAAAGAAAAGAATCTGACTACCGTTTATTTCATTTCCGTATAAATTTTCTGGTCGACATTTTCATGAAATATATTTTACATTCTATGCTGTTGTTTTTATATCCAGAGGTCTATCTAACAATCTGCTTTTTCATAGTTTCTAATTCTAATGATCAGTTCAACCCTTGACTATCTACGTATAAACAAGATAAAAATCAGTAGTAAATGCTTAGAGAGATTAGTAGAGATATACCGTCTTATTTTTAAAGTTTCTACTTCAGTAAAGCATTTTTGGGTATGTGTACGATTACCTGCAGTTATCAGCATACTGAACTCCGCCGTAACGAGAGTTAAAAAAGAAAAGAAATGAAAATTCTCTCACCTTCCATAGTCATGTTATCTCCCAATTTCATTTCGATGTCCAGCGTCCACTATGGTCCCACACAGTCCGCCAGTCGACACCCAGCACCGAACCAAGCACAATAGATCACCAGCAATTATTCCTCGGGGAAATGTCACCTCTCTTCTCCCTTTTCCTTTCTTCTCTCTCTCTCTTTCTGTTCTTTCTTCTCTTCTTTCTCTCTCACTTTTTTCTGTTTTTATTTCCTTCTTATCCCTTATCCCCTTTTTTCTGTCTTTCTTGATCACTTCTCACTTTTCTTATCTCTTGATTTCTTCTTCTCCTTCTTGGTGCCCCTAAATCAAGAGTATCCAATTATCAGAAACCTCTAGGCCGTCCACTTTTTCGCTCGACGAGCTTTCTTCGCGCTCGTTAGGCAACCAGCTGCCGCGCTACCGATTACACTCCCGTTCCACGCCATAATTAACGTCGTTCCGCGGCTGGACAATCGATTTATCAAACGCTCTGTCGTTCCTCCACGCCGGTGACACCAACACCAGTTGATAAATCGCGCGTACCCTTGATCGCCATCGAGCACGACCCCTTTGAACCGCGTGAGGTCATCGTACCGAATGATTCACTTTGACTCTGCTTTGGTGGAATTCGTGGATCGTAGCGATACCTCGGTTTCTTGTAGTAGGATTGATTTAGCCGTGACACGGAGGGCACTTCATGGTGAATCTGTAAAAGAAGAAAAATTAGCATTGGTAAGTTTTCTATCAAGTTGGAGGAAATGTTGAGGTGTTAACCTTCTGGTGGTAATCTTCTGATATTTACTTCTTTATCACAAAGGGTAGGTATGTCATCAATTTTCATAAGGAAATTTTCGAGTAGATGATGAAGCAGAGAATAAAGATTTGTAATTAAGACTTTGAAAAGGTTAGTTTGCTTTTTATTTGAAATACTCGAAGACTTCTGAAGTATCTACAGATTTTACTTCTTCTCAGTATTTGATAAAAAATTTTAAACTGAAAAATATCTAAAATACCCAAAATAAATTATTTCAACATCTCACAACTTTTAAATTATTTATTTTTCTAACTTCGATAGTGCTGGAATATTAATATTTATGTTTAACTTTCTTCAGGGATGATTTCTTTTAAAGTTAGCAAAAATTGATCTCATTTTTTATGTAGTTACATTTATAGTCGTGTTAAATTGATAGCAATTAAACTACTTTCCTTAGGAGATTTTTGGAGATTGTGTTTTTCATACTTTCTCTATGGCAAATATTGGAATTTTCGGAAAATTTAAAGGTACACATATGTGTCGGTGTCCCTGAAGAGGTTAAAGTAAACTGTTTCACTTTTTCCAAAAATCCTTGAGAGACTGCGATACAATAGCGTTTGCTGCATTTTGACAATCAGCCAGACAGTCGCAAAACTTGTCCAGAAATTCCTGCAGTTTCATAAAGACATCGTAAATCTGTCGCTTTCCAATTAAGATGCACAAATTTCTCGTGGAATGCTTATTCCACTGTTCTATCCGACAGGACGTGTGCATACTGAATGGCAATGTCCTCGACACACATTCGAAAATGTCCACAAGAAATGAATATTAGTTCTATTTAAATATTAAGATAGCAACCAACCACTTGGAAGTCTGAAGCAAGTTGAGTACTCATGAGAGCAACAAAACTTGGCCTCATCTGCAACATGCAAGTTCCTGGAGAACACATGGCTCTTGGAGGACTCTGATGAGACATTTAAACTCTTGCTAGTGACCTACGCTAATATAACCTCAAAATTTCATTGTAAAAATTGTTGAGTTAACTAGAGGAGCAAAGATCTGAAGAAATCCACTTCTAAATATATTAATGAAAAATTCCACAGGAAGCTTTCACAAAAAATTACTAAGCTGATTAGAGAAGAAAAGATCTAGAGAAATTTACTTCTAAGTATACTAATTAAATTGAAATTCCAATAGCCTCTGGAGAGCTTAAAATCTTCAGAAGAAACTACCGAGCTAGTTAGGGGAGAAAACATCTGAAGAAATTCACTGAATTCTAAATATATTGATTAAAGTAAAATTCCCGACTCTGAGAAGACCTCAGAATCTTCATAAGAAATTAGAGGTAATATATGGTAATTATGCAGTTTAGTGCCTTTTCCCAACTTTCCCAAGTTTGCAAGGACGTCATTTTGTTTCTATAAACAACAATACGGTGGCTACCAGCCAGTGTATATACAACCAATCCAGTGATTAGGTTAGATTAAGATAGGTTATATCGGATAAATATCCCGACCGCCGCCAAACGGTCGGCCACTTAAGCAGGAAGATGTTGAGTATTAAACTTCCTCAAACTTAAAGCACTAGCTAAATGTGCAAAGTATTACTTCTTTATTCGACGCGTTCCTTAACACGTTTGCCACGCAGATTTACATGTTGCTCTCAGGGGGCCTCAAGAAAGTTTTCATTATTCTATATTCTTATGCTTTACTTTTCTTTTTTCTTAATTCAAAATAATGTCTAGCTAGCTATGATGTTCGAATTTTTTAGTTGACGATATTCATTTCATTTTAATTATTCTAAAGATCTGAGGCCCTCCGGTCACTGATGACCTCCGTGACCCCATCGAGGAAATAATCTCCGGACACAGGTGATCAACGTGGCAGTGAACGTGTTAATGATCACTGTTGCTTAATGTCCACGTTGCGATGGTCAAATGAACCCGTTAATGGTCAGCTAATAACGAACGTTGACTGTCGCTCACTTACCGACGACCGGTAACCGTTTAAATTTATTTTTCTTAATTTCACGTTGTCCTGCAATAAGGATACTAAATGCTAAGAGATTAAGCAAATAAAGTCAAACGTAACTCGAACATAACGCAAACATGTACTAAACTCAACGTAAACTTAACCCAAACCTACAGAATATGATACCCGACATTGAAAGTATTTTTGCGTATATCTTAAAAACTAAAAGGAAGTCCGCCGGTAACATGTATAGGGAAAAGTTTTTTAGAATCTTGACCTCGACAACATAGTTCGAGGTCATTGAAATCGATTCTGAGGACCCTATTCACAATAATTACCAAAATTTGAACAAATTCACTGCATTTTACACAAGGATATTAAATCACTTGAAAATTCCCCAGAACTAAGCACTGAAAAAAATGACTAAATCACCTAATGTATCAAATACACTAACTTTCAATACCCTAGACTTCTAAAATCTTTTAGAATCTTCATAAGAAATTACTTATTTTTCTTTCAACCCTGAATCGATCAATTAAATCGAAACTTTCTAACACTGCAAAGTCCCTAGAATCCTTACAGTGAATCCCGGTAGCTAATTAAACCGACAAGAAGCTGAGCTCAATTCTATTTACAACGATTAAAGGATCTATCGCTGAAGATCGGTGGAAATCTATCGGGTAACGTAACTATAACCGCAGATCCACCCTTTATCCATCTTCGAATGATAGTGTAACCTGGGAAAGTAGGCCACAGGAATCCGACAGGCCATCGGTTCAGGCAAAGGGCACGGAACCATAATCCGAACGCTGTGTTCCGAAGGAATTCCAGGCATTTAGTTCGTTCGAGACGTGTGTATGTCGAAGGGATAAAGAGAATCTGTTCAGGCTTTACGTCACACGTGACGCACACGCGATTTCTGTTCCCGACGTCGCGTCGTCAGTGACCGTGTATATCGCGACGTACGTAATGTTGATTGGCGAGGATCGATGTGACTATTAATACAGGGAGTTCTCTCCCCATCTTCTTGGTGCTTCTTCGACGAAGAAAATTTCGCAGCGATTCAAAGAATTGTTCGAATCTTTCGACATTGTTGTTGTAGCATGGTAAGAAGTGGATTTTTTCAGTGGGGGAAAATATTGGAACATTTTCGTGAGATATTAACATTTTCCCAACCGACAACTTTTTCAAGTTTTCAAAGTTGGAGAAAACTTGGTAAACAACAACAAGATTTTTCGAGTAATTCTCACTGTGGTAGCAAACGATTTTTGGGAGGGGAAAAATTGGGAAATTTTTAGAAAATTAATCCAGTGTGTTCTATTATTGCAAAAAGTGATTTTTGCAAAGGAAAGAATTGGAAAGTTTGCAGAAAATTATTTGAAAGTTTCTTAGCACGATAAAATATGCTTTTTACAAGGGAAGAAATGGGAAAATTCTGTTACTAAATCTCTGTTTAACTGAAATATCACGACTACAAAAAAATACGCAAAACATTAACGTTTACAATTACCAAAATTACTCTGAAGATAATCTTAACGAAAATCTTTGGATTTTTCTTAAATTTCCATTTGCCACACTTTAATCAAGGTTTCACTTAGAAGCAGCCTTACTTTATTGTTTTGGCTACGTGGAGTGTACAAAAGCCATCTTTAGCGTCGGAGGTACGGAGAAATATGTAAAAAATGTATTTCTGCAGGGGAACGTGGCAAGGAAACGTCGGTATTTATCCTGATATTTCAGTATTCCGGGCATATTTCACAAGTACGGGATACGTTAGCCCGGTACCGCGTAAAATTGGAAAAGCTGTTCGAGTCGTAAAGTAAATCCTGATAAGCAGACCATCTAGTTTGGTGCACCGTTAAAACGCCACCCTTTATCGTTCAAAGTGGTCTTCGCATTTACTATTTCCACCGCGTGTCTTCGCCTGCGCCAATACTTCACTGATACGAAATGAAAACTTTAATTTCTGCTCAGTGAAATATTTTCGTGAAGTTTCTTTCTGATCGAGGAATATCCTGTTTGGAAGGATGTAGACACACTTCGAAACTATAGAATTTTTATGGAAAATTGTATTTTCATTCGTGAACAATTGGGAAAAGATTGACGAAAAAATTCTGTCTGTTAAAATACTTCAATCTTTGAATAAAATTTGCAAAATTAGATAGATACAATTTAATTCCAAGGTTTTGCTTCAAATTTTCAAAAATTTCCAAAACTGATGTGTGAAATTTTCAGGCTTAGTCAAATTATTTTTAAAATTGTGAAGAAACTTTTAGAAAAATAGTAATATTAGCAATATTAGATATTTGAAGTATATACAATAGAATGCTTGATTAATTTCTACTGTTTCGTTAGC